TACATCACAGTATAAAGGTAAGTAAATTAAATATTAGAAACTGTCCTTGGGTACTTTAGAATAAAATTTCTGAATGTTTTTATTTTGCTCTTTACTATACAAATGGTGTACATTATTTATAGGCACTCACTGTGTCCCTCTCCTAGTCTTTGCTTTGTTAGAATGTTACATTTCCAACTAGAAAATATATTGACTTAGAAGGCAGAATTAAGTGAAATTAATTTAATTTAAAATGTTTTATTATAAATAGTACATCCTGGGGTCGGCAGGTGGCATGGTGGTTGAAGCACTGGACACCCACATGGCCAACCACGGTTCAAGTCCCAGACCTGGAAGCTTACTTTCTCTCTCTTTCTGGTCAAATTAAAATAAAACTAGAAAATATATTGACTTAGAAGGCAGAATTAAGTGAAATTAATTTAATTTAAAATGTTTTATTATAAATAGTACATCCTGGGGTCGGCAGGTGGCATGGTGGTTGAAGCACTGGACACCCACATGGCCAACCACGGTTCAAGTCCCAGACCTGGAAGCTTACTTTCTCTCTCTTTCTGGTCAAATTAAAATAAATAAATAAATGAAGTTCAATAAAATAATTATTAAAAGTAAATAAATAAATAAATAGTACATTCTTTCTTGTATCCATATTGAAACAACCAATATAATGAGACCCTCTGTAGATTTATATTGAACATGTATACAGGAGCTTCAGAATGAGTCTAGTAGTGCTGTAGGGATCACTGTACAATGCAGTTTGTTTTGCTTTATTGACACACTTGCTTTGCAGATGCTTTAAGACTGGCCTGCTCCAGGATTAAAGACTAGAATAAAATAACCTTTATGGGAGAAGAGGACATTTTAGGCATGAACCATAAAGACCAGCTGTTTGCAGATCATACCCTCAGCTTATTAAAGTATTAAAAAGTAGATTTCATTTTTAAATATTTGAACCAATACTAAACTATTTCAAGAATTGTCTTATTTGAGGCATAGTATTTTTCCAAGTTTGCTTATTGTCATATAATATTTAGCCTGTAAATGCTGTTTTTCGATTACTCTGGTGAATGACTTGTTAAAAGAAAAAAACAGAGCATTTCTGGGCTTTCAGAGAGTGTTTATAGAACTTGTCTACATTTTCAAAACATTTATAATCTTTGACATTTTACGTATGTGGATTTATAACTCTCTCCCCGTATATATTTACACTGTATAGACACGTCTGCATAGCCTATATATAGTCTAAAATGCCATTAAAAAGTTTTATAGGCATATAATGCAAATCAAAGCCACATTAGTATATAAAATATCTCTGTAATATAAAATATAAATATGAAATATTCGCTCCCCCCCAAAACCCAGAAAGGTTGGTGGAAAATCACAATTTTAAAAAACTAAAGTGATTTTAGAACTATAAATATGTTCTTTATTGGAACCAGCAGATGGCATAGCAATTATGTTGCTGGACTCCCACATGACTGACCATGGTTTGAATCCCAGACCCGGTTGCTTGAAACTCAATGCTGGTCGTGTGCGTGTGCTCATGCCCAAGATTTCAGGAGGAAAATGGAGGAGGAGGGATTTGTAGTGTGTCCATCCCCTCTGGGGAGTGGTTTCTCATTTTCCCTCTCTCTGTCTCTGTCTCACTCACTCTCTTTCTGGTAAGTACACGTGCCCTAAGGTAAAACCCCTAAAAAACAAAACCAAAACCCAAAAGTGTTCATCAAAATGCTTCTAAATTATAAAATTGAAAATTAAGAAAAATGTAGACAGATTCAAAGAAAACAATGTAATCTTTCTTTCATAATCCTGCCAGGCAGACAAAACTCTGTTAGTTGTGATACTTTCTCTTGCCAATTTTTTGGATGCATGCTTTTTACATTTTTAAAAAAATATATATCGATAGAGTATGTGCAAGAGACAATGGTACGAGAAGCACTCTTAATCATCACACTATGATCTCCTTTCTCCAGCCCTCTAGCTCCTCAGGATCATGCACATGGCCACACATGCATATACCTGGCACTTTCTGACTGACCTCGGAATCCAAATTCTCTGTTGGCCATGTAGTTTCCAGCATTACGAATCAGCTTGCTATACCCACTACACCACCAAGCTGGCCTACATTGTTGAGACTATATAAAATGCACTACTTTGTTATCTAGCTTTTCACTTGCTATCATAACTTAAAATCTTTCACATTTTAAAATTCTTTGACACATAATATGTAAAAAAAAATCGAAGAATATAGACAAAGCATAGAATAAAAAATTATGTATTAAACATCAGTTATGTATCAGTCTTGGTGCTAAGTATCTTATGCACAGTATACCTAACCCTTAGAATGGTCCTGTCAAGTATGTGATATCCTACATTATGGATGAGGAAACTCAGAGAAGTTAAGTAACTTGCCCATTGTCATATAGGTAATATAAAAAAATATATTTGTTCTGTAATATTGGGATATTTCCAATTTAGTTATTTTTCTATTGTTGAGTATTTAGGTTATACTCATTTTTTAACCTTTATATATATATATCTGTAATTAAATATTTTTTCATGAGACAGATTATTATTTTTATGCAAGTCTAACATTTATTTGTTGGATGGTCAAAAAAGTCATGATGCATTTTTTTTTCTTTGAGAGAGACTTTTGCTGTAGGGCATATGTGCTCACCCGGGAGAGAGACAGAAAGCAAGAAATCACTCTCTAAGGGGAGATGGCCACACTGCAATCTTTTCTCTTCCATCCTCCTCTTGGGATTTTGGGCACCCACCCACACATGCCCAACATGAGTTTTAAGCCATTAGGTCTGGGACTCGAGCAGTGGTCAACTACATGGGTTTTCAGTGGCATAACCATTACACCATCCACTGGTCCCTCATGATGCATTTTTTGCATAGAAAAATACATCAAGACTTTTCTAACTACCCAGTAATATTTGTATCATAGTTAACGTCATAATGAAGTGACAACACTACTAAATATTATTCTTGCCCTTTTTCTAATTTCTAAATTTTCTAGGGCTTTTGGAAAATTACCTAGTTGTCTGCTTTTTTTATTTCCTCCAAAATTGACACATCTCTTCAGAGTGTCATCAGACAGATGCTAGTGAAGCAACCTTATTACATTTGGAAGGTACTTTAAAGACAAAATTAACTTGTCTTTACTAAGTGGTAGTTTTTTATTGTTGCTTTTATATTAACTTTATGCCTGTTGGAATCACATTTGATCAGTACCAGCAAATTCTTGGCCCAGTTTCCTAAAACTGTGGTATGAAAGTGATATAAATGAGCATAGCATGTCTGTGGGACAGTTTTAATTGGAGGAATTGAAGTATTTGCTAAGTTTTTCTGTGCTATATTTTACTAGACTTATGTTATAGAATCATGAGAATATTTTTTATTATCAATGGCTAATTTTTTTTGTTTGTTTTTAAAGAATTATTTTATTTAGGGACCAGCAGTTAGCATAATGACTATGTCGCTCTACTCCCACATAGTCGACCACAGTTCGAGTCCCAGACCCAGTGGCTTTAACTCATGACAGGAGCACTTGGTGCCCAAGATCCCGAGAGGAGAATGGAGGAGAAGGGATTGCAGTGTGGCCATCCCCCCTGTGGGGTGATTTCTTGCTTTCTGTCTCTCTGTCTCTCTCTCTGTCTGTCTGGTGATCACACGCGCCCTTATAGCAAAAACCTCTCCCCCCCAAAAAAAATATTTTATTTAACTTTATTTTTTTATTTATTTTTAATATTTGACCAGAGAGGGACAGAGAAAGAGAAATTGAGAAAACATGCCACCAGGTCAGGGACTTGAACCGTGGTCGGCCATGTGGGAGTCCATCGACCTTAATCCCCACTCCGCCTGCTGGCCCATCAATGGCTGATTCTTACTTTGAAATGTAATTGGTAAAAATTAACTTCTAAGTAGTCATTTTTTACTTAAGTTACTGATTTGTTCAGCAAAAGGGAAAATGCCTATGATTAATAACTAAAGGCTATATTTGATGTTTTAACGTGGCCAATTCAAGAATGTCATAGCAATAGTTATATAATTTGAAGTTAGAAAAGAAACTGAATCATGACAGAAATGTATTAAACTAAATTCCCATTACTGTTACCGTTTTTTTTTTTTTTTGTATCAAAATGAACTTATTTTTGTGTGTGTGTGTGTTTGGTATCAAAATGAACTTATTTTCTAATGTATATTTGCTTAGGAAATTAAATTTTATTTGGATCTTTTTTAACCACAGATACCATCATATTTGTCTGGATAGCATGCCATGTAGTCTTAGCAATAAAACTAGAAAATGCCTAGAAAGCAAAATGCTCTGCTTTTTATTTATTCAATAGTGGCTGGTTTATACTCAAGCTGGATATACTTGGGTAAGGCAAACTATTACTTTCACTTTTGTTTATAGCATTTTTGGTTTGTGAAATTTTTTTTATCATCAATTCAAGTTTTCCAGAGACATTTTATAATGTTTATCCTTAAACTAATGGAAAAATAATGAATCTTTTTGGTCCTATAAAATAATTGTATATCTTATATTAAAGAACACCATTTTAGAAATAAGAAAATTTTTTTCTCCAAAGTTACATTTGCATACATACATACACACACACACACACACACACATGCCCACTTGATCTGGTCATCATTACATAGATACAAATGAGATATTATACGTTTAAAATGTACACTACTTTGATGCAATTAAATTAGGCTTTATCTAAAGATTAATTTGTTAAAGCATGTCAGTGTTTTCTGGTAGTTCATTTTAAAATTAACTTACAGCTTTGTATTACATCATTTCTCCAATACAAGTGGTCTCTGAAAATTTCATCTTAATTGATAGAGTATAACGTGGGTTCCTTGGTACTACAAGTTAGTGATCCTGCTGATAGTACTTCAGAGTAATTTATAAATACCTAGTCGATAGAGTGACAGGTTCATCAGATTTTTAAAAAAATAAATTCCCTTTTTTTGTGTGTTTACAGGAAACCTGTGCAGTTTAAATCGTCTTGGTCTGAGATATAACAGACTGTCAGCAATACCCAGATCATTAGCAAAATGCAGTGCACTTGAAGAATTAAATTTAGAGAACAATAACATTTCTACTTTACCAGAGGTAAGAAATGGATTAGAGAAAACAAGACTTGAAGCATGTCTACAAGAAAATGGAAAGAAAACTAGTAAATCTATATAGCTAGGTAAATAATTTGGTGTGAGAATGTTTATAATATGGAGTAGTCTATGCATGTATAGCCACCACTAAGATACATATTCTAAAGGAGAAAGAATAAGGTATAAGAACATGTCAAAAACTCATGACATACTTTTGTATGTTTCTGTGCAGAAATGCATCATGACTTTTCTGACGACCTAATAATTCTTTTCTTTTTTAATTTATTTATTCATTTATTTATTTTATTTTGACCAGAGAGAGATACAGCAAGAGAGAGAAAGTGAGAAAGCAAGCAACCAGGTCCAGGACTTGAACCATGGTCAGCCATGTGGAAATGTCCAGCACCTTAACCACCACGCCACCTACTGGTCCCTCTAATAATTCTTTAATACATATATCTTAAAGAATTACTAATTTAATTTTTGTATATTCTTATTCTTTAGTGTAACCAGAGAGAGAGAGAGAAAAGAAGCCACTAGGTCCAGGACTCAAACCACAGTCACCAATGTGGAAGTCCAGTGCCTTAAACACCATGCCATCTGCTGGCCTATTTATAATCATATTCATATTCACATGTGTGTGCATATATATATGTATATTCAGACACATAAAAAATATATATACAATCTTTCTGATCTCATAAAATTGTATATTTTATATTAAGAATACCATTTTAGAATACAGAAATTTTATAAATATTACATATATTTTCTACATATAATATTTTGTTTGTGGGTGTGGGTGTGTGTGTGCGTGTGTAAAAATTTTTGGGGGGGGTACCAGCAGGTGGCATGGTGGTTAAGGTGCTGGACATTCCCACATGGCTGACCATGGTTCGAGGCCTGGACCTGGTGGCTTGCTTTCTTTCTCTCTCTTTTTCTGTCTCTCTCTAGGCAAGCTTAAAAAAGAAAAAGAATAAATTAAAAATTAAAAATAAATATTTAAAAAAAATTTTTTTTGGGGGGTAAGAGGTTTTTGCTATAATGCACATGTACTCTCCAGAAAGACAGAGACAGACAGAAAGCAAGAAATCACCCCCCAGGGGGGTGCCATGCTGCAATCCCTTCTCCGTTCTCCTCTCAGGATTTTGGATACACATATACACACACCCGGCATGAATTTAAGTAACCAGGTCTGGGACTTGAACTGCTGTTGACTACATGGGAGTCCAGTGACATAGCCATTATGCTATCTGCTGGTCCCTATATATATAATTTTTTAAAGAGGTTTTTGCCTTAGGGCACATGCACTCACCAGGGGGAAAGAGAGAGAGAGAAATAGAGAGATAGTGAGAGGGAAAGTGAGAAACTCCCCCCAAAGGGGATGATCATGCTATAATCCCTTCTCCTCTATTTGCCTCTTGAGATCTTGGGCACTCATGCATACACACCCAGTATGAGTCTCAAGCCACCAGTTTCAGGACTTTAACCACGGTTGGCCTTGTAGGAGTCCAACATCGCCATTTGCTGGCCATTTTTTTTAAATGTGGGGAACAAGATGAAAACTAAAAGTAAAGTCAGTATACTCTTTAGCACCACATAAATCTTTCTCTAATCATTTTGGGGATTGACATTTATGCTATTAAGGAAAAATTGTATGGTTGGTTTTAAAATTCAACTGTCTTACCCAGTTCCTATAAACAGGTGCTATGGAAGATAAATTAAAAAAAATGATTTGTATAGAATGTACTATTGATTATCAAGATTAGCTGCAACTCTCCTGACAAATTATTACCCTGTTTATGCAATATTATTAAAACCTACTCAGTATATACAAGTCATCAAAATATGTTATTTATTAGTGCATTACTATTTTTTAATTTTTTTAATTCCCAGAGGGCACTGCTATGTCCTCACCAGAGAGACAGAAACAAGGAGAAAGCACTGTTCTCTCCTTCTTTTCTCCATCCTGTCAAGCGTGAGGACACTCATGCACATGTGCTTGGCACATTTTTCAGGCAGGGGTAGGGATGCAGGTTTTAAACCACAGCCAGCCATTTGGGATCCAGTTCCTTAACCACTAAGCTATGGGAGATTCTACTGTTTAATATTGTCTCTTCTAACAATGACTCATATTCATAATAAGACAAACAGCACATTAATTAGGCTAATTGCTGAGATTCCTTTTGAGTATGATTTTTGAGTATAAGAATAACTACTTTTATATTGTTATTATGCCTACATGTAAAGATTGGGTTTATATCAGAATTAAAAATATATATAAATTGGGACCAATAGCGCAATGGCTATGTTGCTAGACTCCCATGTAGTCAACCGCGGTTAGAGTCCCGGACCCAGCGGCTTAAACTCACGCCAGGTGCGTGTGCATTTGTGCCCAGGATCCCAAGAAGAGAATGGAGGAAAAGGGATTGTGTCGTGGCCATCCCCCCTGGGGGGTGATTTCTCACTTTCTGTCTCTATGTCTCTTTGTCTTTCTCTTTCTGATGAGTGCACGCACCCTATAGCAAAAACCTCTCCAATAAAAAGAAAAAAAATATATAAATGTATATATATATATTTTATGTGCATATATATCTATAGTCTTATTGTCAGCGAAGGGAAACTAATAATTAACTGGATATTATTAGGGTACCGTGCTAGGTACTTTCACATACAACATTTAGTGAACAAAATAAGTCAGGGTTTACTTTTTTAAAAAATTCTATTTACTTACTTATGTACTTACGTACTTATTCATTTTAATTTGACCAGAGAGGAACAGAGCGAGAGAGAGAAAGTGAGAAAGCAAACTGCCAGGTCCAGGACTCAAACCATGATTGGCCATGTGGGAGTCCAGTGCTCTTAACCGCTACATAACCTGCCAGCCTCAGCGTTTACTGTTTTATAAAGAGCAGTTTTAGGTTTTGCCGCATTGAATAGATTATATGAATATTTTTTCCTATATCCCCTGTCCCCACACATGTGTAGCTTTTCTGCATTATCAGCATCTCCTACTGGAGTGGTAATTTGTTAAAATAAGTGAAACTACATTGACACATTATGATCACTCAAAGTTGATAGTATACATAGTTCACAAATTTATGTTGACATATATCAAAAAACAATAAAGTGTCATCTAAATATTTTACTGCCATAAAAATCTGTGCTCCTGTTTATCCTTGTCCTCCTACCCCTGGCAGCACTGAACTTTTTACTTTTTTGGAGAGGTTTTTCGCTATAGGGCGCGAGCATAATGGCTATGTCGCTGGACTCTCACGTAGTTGACCGTGGTTCACGTCCCGGACCCGGTGGCTTAAAACCCACGCCGGGCATGTGTGCGTGCGTGCCCAAGATCCTGAGAGGAGAATGGAGGAGGGATTACAGTGTGGCCATCCCCCCTGGGGGGTGATTTCTCACTTTCTGTCTCTATGTCTCTTTGTCTTTCTCTTTCTGATGAGTGCACGCACCCTATAGCAAAAACCTCTCCAATAAAAAGAAAAAAAATATATAAATGTATATATATATTTTATGTGCATATATATCTATAGTCTTATTGTCAGCGAAGGGAAACTAATAATTAACTGGATATTATTAGGGTACCGTGCTAGGTACTTTCACATACAACATTTAGTGAACAAAATAAGTCAGGGTTTACTTTTTTAAAAAATTCTATTTACTTACTTATGTACTTACGTACTTATTCATTTTAATTTGACCAGAGAGGAACAGAGCGAGAGAGAGAAAGTGAGAAAGCAAACTGCCAGGTCCAGGACTCAAACCATGATTGGCCATGTGGGAGTCCAGTGCTCTTAACCGCTACATAACCTGCCAGCCTCAGCGTTTACTGTTTTATAAAGAGCAGTTTTAGGTTTTGCCGCATTGAATAGATTATATGAATATTTTTTCCTATATCCCCTGTCCCCACACATGTGTAGCTTTTCTGCATTATCAGCATCTCCTACTGGAGTGGTAATTTGTTAAAATAAGTGAAACTACATTGACACATTATGATCACTCAAAGTTGATAGTATACATAGTTCACAAATTTATGTTGACATATATCAAAAAACAATAAAGTGTCATCTAAATATTTTACTGCCATAAAAATCTGTGCTCCTGTTTATCCTTGTCCTCCTACCCCTGGCAGCACTGAACTTTTTACTTTTTTGGAGAGGTTTTTCGCTATAGGGCGCGTGCGCTCACCAGACAGACAGAGAGAGACATAGAGACAGAAAGCGAGAAATCACCCCCCAGGGGGAATGGTCACGCTGCATTCCCTTCTCCTCCATTATCCTCTCGGGATCTTGGGCATGCACGCACATGCACCCGGCGTGAGTTTTAAGCCACCGGGTCCGGGACGTGAACTGCAGTCGACTACGTGGGAGTCCAGCGACATAGCCATTACGCTAACTGCTGGTTCCCAGAACTTTTTACTTTTGATAAGAGGATTATGAAGAGGACAGCTTTGTTTAGTATGCATGTAGAATGTGCACATATGTGTGTGTATGTGTCTATATAAATGTTTGTATTTAAACTGGCTTGTTTTCAGACAGAGATACTATGTGGGAAGCATTTGATTGCCTTATAAAATATGGGAAAGCATAAAGTTTTATTTAAAAGTAGTCTGTGTGCTTGGAATCAGTATATTCGTTTTGTTTGTTTGTTTGTTTTGTTTTTTTGAGAGGTTTTTCGCTATAGGGTGCATGCACTCGCCAGAGAGAGAGACAAAAAGTGAGAAATCACCCCCCAGGGGGGATGGCCACACTGTAATCCCTCCTCCATTCTCCTCTCAGGATCTTGGGCACGCACGCACACATGCCCGGCGTGGGTTTAAGCCATAGGGTTCGAGACTTGACTCATGGTCAATTACATGAGAGTTCAGTGACATAGCCATTATGCTAACTGCTGGTCCCGAATCAGTATATTCTTAATGCAGATATGTAATTATGTACATTTATAATAAGCACAGTAGCAAAAAAAACAATAAAATCCATTAGCCCTTACAAGACATTTAAACTGGGTTAGGCAAGAAAAAAATCATGAAAGCGGTTTTCTTTCTTTCTTTCTTTTTTTTTAAAGCACTTAATTTGTTGTGATTTTTAAGTTCCAGATTCAGGACTCAAACCATGGTTGGCCTTGTGGGAACCCAGCAGCTTAACCACCATGCTACCTAACTGGCTCTAAAGAAAATTTTTCTTCTTTTTATTTTTTTTTCCATAAAGGGAGATTTTTGCTGTAAGGAACATGTGTGTATCAGACAGAGAGAAACAGGGAGACAGAAAGTGAGAAATCACTCCCTGTGGGAATGGCCACCCTGCAGTCCTTTCTCCTTTGTTCTCCTCTTGGGATCTTGGGCATGTGCATACATACGGCCAGCATGAGTTTTAAGTCACCAGGTCTGGGACTTAAACCATGGTTGACTATGTGGGAGTCCAGTGATGTAACCATTACACCATCTGCTGGTCCCGAAAATGGTTTTCAATAAGGGCCTCATTATATGGTTGAAATTAGAACTGGTAAAATGACTGTATTTTTTCCATTTGAAAGCTACCCACATAATCCTAATAGCATAATCCTACTATCAGTAGTTAGTATTCTCATTGACTAGATAGGGAAATAAAATTTAAGAGAGGTTAAGTTTTTGGCTAAAATTTTCTGGAGATAAAACAAGTATTGATTATCTTAATTCACCAACGTTGACAAAGCTGTGTTAAGTATTATCTACAATAGGAACCCAGATTGTCTGACTAAAGCAGTAAGTAACCCCTAAATTCTACATTATGACCTATGAAATGAGAGGTTGAAGAGATACCTTCTTATTGTCCATTCCCATATATACTCGGATACTAATATTTTGTTATAGAAGAATGCTAATTCAATGAGTAAGTCAATAAGAAGAATTAACTTTTTGCCATCAGATTCAGTAAAACTTGTTTATTTTCAATAAAGCAGGCTGTAGACATTTAAATTGGCTGAGATGCAGTTTTCTCACGAATACTCTTACCTCTGCTCTTCTTTTTGTGTATAGTAATAGACAAATATTAAGAATAGTTTCTTTTTTTTTTTTTTGAGGGAGAGATTTTTGCTATAGGGTACATATGTTCACTGGAGAGACACAGAGAGACAGAAAGTGAGAAATCAACCCCCAGGGGAGGACCACACCAAAATTCCTTCTCCAATCTCCTCTTGGGATTTTGGGCATGCACGCACATGCGTCTGGTGTGACCTTAGGCTGCCAAGTCCTGGACTCGAACTGTAGTCAACTGTCTGGGAGTCTAGCAAGGTAACCATTATGCCATCTGCTGGTCCCCAAGAATAGTTTTTTAATGTCCATTATAGAGAACAAGTTTCGATTTGGCATATAATCACATCTTCAGTTATTGAATTATTTCACTCTCTAAGCTAGCTTTGCCACTTACCATTAACTGAAACTAGAGGTAGCAAGTCTTCAGTTTTCTCATGGTAGACAGCTGAAGTTTGAATGTTATTTAAAACTCACACATACCTCACAGTGCTTGTTTCTCCTTGCTTATACTATTACTTCAAGCCAAAGTGTTTAAAGTAATGTTTAACTGTCCAATTTTTTTTAAGAAATATATATATATTTACTGTAGGGCACATGAGCTTTCCAGAGAGACACAGAGAAAGAGAGACTGAAAGCGAGAAATCACCCTCAAGGGTGATGGTCACACTGCAATCCCTTCTCTACCTTGGGCATGCATGCACACACACCTGGGGTGAGTTTTAAGCTGCTGGGTCCAGGACTCAACCGCAGTTGACTATGTGGGAGTCTAACAACATAACCATTGTGCCATCTGCTGGTCCCATTATCTGGATATTTTTTAAATGTTTTCATTTTTTAAGATTTAACTCTCAACCTTCTCGCTTGTCTAGTTATTCTAGTATTTCCTCTTTTCCTTCATATAAATAGAAAAGGGATTTAAAATTTATGCACTTAGTAAGTGCTAGGTATTATAAAGTTACCTATGCATTTTATCTCTTTTAGTATTCACTACAACCTATAAAACAAGGGATTTTATTTTTTAATTTAATTTAATTTTAAGGCTTTTCCCATGGGATGTATGGGCTTACCAGAGAGACAGAGAGAAAAAAAGTGAGAAATCATTCCTTAGAGGGGATGGCCACACCACAGTCCCTTCTCCTTCATTCCCATCTTGGGATTTTGGTCATTTATGTACACATGCTTGTCATGATTTTCAAGCCACCAGGTTCAAGACTTGAACCACAGTTGTCTTTGTGGAAATCCAAAGTAAGGCATTTTAAAAATGAGTAAGGTTCAGAAAGATAACTTGCTCAAAGTCACCAACTATTTAAAGAGCCAGGATTCAAAACTTTTTAGCCTAGTTTATTTGAGCCAGAGCTTAAGGACAAGTTGCAAAAAGGATAACTATCTCTGGCTTTCTAGACTCATCAGAATGGCTACCAAGAACTCTAGTTTATTTAACAAAGAGGGAAGAAGAGAGAAGTTTACAAGTTGTCAGGAACTTATAACAGTCTAGTAAAAATATTGCAAGCAACTGTTTGGCTATACCTTAGTCTTTACATCATGAACTCAAGAACACTGGGATGATAAAAAAGTGGGGGGCCACATTATGAAATTTGTAATCCTTTGGAGCATCATAGGTTGTTTACGCTGATGGATGTGGGGCATAACACTGGGATGAGTCCCTCTGTAGAAATCTCAAACTAGTTACCCATGAGTTACCTTTCATCTAGAGGCATGTTTTCTTTACTCCATAGAGTGTTTTTAATAATTTGAAGTCAAGTAATAAAAATTAAAATTTCCTACTTCTTGTAAAATCTGGAAATCTGACTACATTGACTCCACATTTCTGCAACAGTTTGCTAGCGCTAAGTAGTTATTGTCCCTATAGATGAGATATCAGAACCAGCTCAACCAGTTTCATTTATTACCTGCAAGGCTTTTTGAAGCATTTGGGTTTGGAACTGCTGCTCTATATAAAATAGATCTTGTTACACTTCTAATTCTTATGTTTATTTCATTTTTTTTTATAGAGTCTTTTATCGAGTCTTGTGAAACTGAACAGTCTGACCTTAGCTAGAAATTGCTTTCAGTTATATCCAGTAGGTGGTCCATCTCAGTTTTCCACCATCTATTCCCTCAACATGGAACACAATCGAATCAATAAAATCCCATTTGGAATTTTCTCCAGAGCTAAAGTGTTAAGTAAGCTGAATATGAAGGTAAGCATCTGGTTGTATTACCCAGTGGGTGGGAGGGGTTGTGTAGTCATCTTCTATTAGTAGTGCTTGCTATTGTTTTTATGTTTTCTCTACTGTTGTGGAGAAAAGGAGTACTTATACCTCATTAATGTGGTCTAAGCTAATAATAAGGATGCTTCAGGGCAATTTGTATGAGATAAAAAATATCCTAGAACTGTGCATACTGTTAGGTATTTGTCCTCAAGAAATAATCATGAAGGTCAATAGAGGTATAGTTGTGGGGATATTTATTGCAAAGCTATCTATATCATAGGTACCAATGTATTAATACTAATGGTATAATTTTTAAAAGTAACATAGCTTCAGTAGAATACTATGGTGCTATTAAAAATGATACTCTAGTCTAAAATAATATTAAATACCAATTGAGATATTTTCAATTTATTAAGTAGAAGAAAGTTAAAACATATAGAAATATCTTTCTATAATTTTTAAATGCAATTTTAATATGCTAATTATATATGATTTACATATGTATATGCATAGCCAGTATTTACCAAGAGGCTGTATTTTTATTTGGACATCAGAATTTTTCTTTTTTTGGAGAGGTTTTTGCTATAGGGCGTGTGCGCTCACTAGACAGAGAGAGACAGAGAGACAGAAAGCGAGAAATCACCCCCCCAGGGGGGCTGACCATGCCGCAATTCTTTCTCCTCCATTCTCCTCTTGGGATCTTGGACATGCACACACACGTGCCCAGCGTGAGTTTAATCCACTGGGTCTGGGACTCGACCCACAGTTGACTATGTGGGAGTACAATGACATAGCCATTACCCTAACTGCTGGTCCCTGGACATCAGAATTATTGATGAGTGATTTTTAGCTTCCTTTTGCTTACCTATATACTCTACAGTGAATGAACTTCACATTTGTAATAAAGTTTATTGAGAAAGAAGAAAAGCAGAAAATTATATAGTCCAGTGATTTGATTTGTAGTTAACAAACTTTAGGCCCAGAGAAGATACTGGAATTGGCCACCTGCCTATTTCATAACTGAGATAGAAACCTAGGAAACGTAGATTTCCTGATTGCAGATACAGTGGTCTTTCTATCGTATCATATTACATTCTTTGTCTTTTATGAGGTGTTTTAGCAAAACGGTGGTCCTTTAAACTAAATGTATAATTTCTTGATTCTCCACACTTGTTCATAAATACATTCGGTCATCAGGGAAGTTGTGATGCATTTTTGCATAGAAAAATATGTCATGACTTTCCTGACTACCATGATGATCGGAAGTATACAGTAAGTGAATTAATGGAAAGTCAAGATAATGCTGTAATCTTAAAAAAGTAATTTATTGTTAATCTGGTTATATGAAAGTGAGCAGTGATAATGATGTTAATCTGAATGTTCATTTTGTAGGCTTAGAACAAGTAGTCCAGGTGTTCATTTGTTTTTGTATTTGATTATATATTTTTGTGGCAGTGATGTTATTGTAATAGCTTGGAAAGGCTTGCTATTTACAATAAAATAAAACTTGGTGTAGGCTTTGCCTTAAATTTTCTTCAAATATAATAAACATTTAACTTATTAAAAAAATCAAAAAGAAGCTTGCCATTTTTGTAATCATATAAACACCAGTGGTCAGATTATTACTATCAGTAGTTTGGGCATAGATAGGGACTAGCTTCACATAGGATAATAAGTAGATAATGTTTAAATATAATAAAAGAAAAATAAAATGGCTGTTTGCTACTTGAGATTGCTCTTGCAGATTATTTTATGTAAAATGAGACAAGTAATCCATGTGCACTGTTAAACATTTAAAAATGCAGTTTAACAAAAAGGCCATAAAATAATTCCACCACTGAGAGCTAGCATCACTATTAACATTCATCTTTAACATTTATCTTCAACCCCCAACTGGGACAGGAATGCTAATGATCATTTCCCAATACTCCTAACATATACCAGTGTGGTAATAGTTGTTACTGATGAAAAGGAGTTATGTGGAAGCAGGAAAAAGGTAGCCAATCATTGGAATATATTTTACTTTTTTTGTGTGTATAGCCATACCTAATTATTTAAACAAAATTAGAATTATGTTTACCACTTCACCATCTGTTTTTATTAGTTAATGATAAATATATTTTACTTTTGTTTCTTAAAAATTTTTAATGTGAAATTGTAGATTCTTAGTGTTTTAATTATTAAATTTGCTGTCTTATTAAGACAATTCTTTCTTGTCTTTACTGCTCAGCATCCCCAGAATTTCTGAGCTCATTTGGGTTTCCTTGCAGGTTATGAATACATGCGTCTTCTTTCATTGTGCTTATATTTTTATCTGGGCATTTATGTTTTAGTTTAATAATTTCTGTGCTATAAAAAGAAAAATTCAGCCAACTTGATTGATACGGAGTTTAATTAAGCAAATCTTAACACAATTTAAATTGGACAGTTGTCCCTGGACTTCCAGACAACTCAGGGTAGCTTCGTGGTCACACAGTATTTAAGTTTTGGAGAAGGAAAGTGAACAGGAATGTGAACATGATGTACAAAAACACAAGTGAAGGAATGAGATAGGGAAGCAATTTAGGTTGGTTACATTCCTAAGTTTGTCTGCATTAACTCAGTTTAAAAGGTGGGATGTCTGTGATTGATTGAAGCCCAGCTGCTGTGATTGGTTGTAACCTAGCAAAAAAAAAAAAAAAAATGAGGTCACAGTTTGTTTATGGAAACCAAGCAGGAGCACAGGGACTTTTTCCATATTTTAAAACAATTTCACCCTTTTGGTCAGCCTCTAAACTTTGAGAAATTGATCAAAACTGAGGACATTGGCACCACTCTCTGTCACCATCATAAATGACTTTTTCTTGCTCTCAGCATAGAAATTCTGAAGTGTTCTCTGGTCTCTGGTATGGAATTCATAAGTCATGATGTCACATGATTGAACAGTTCCTTTTCCGTGTTCTTACTGATCCAGTTGAAGCAAGATTTACTCAATGTTTAATGGATGACTGCATATAAAGAGTCAAGAGGATTCAGCACACCGAGGGGGCTGAAATGATTACTTGTTTAAATATCCAGAGCTCAAACTATACTTCTTAACAGAAGCTCCCATGGAACAAACAAAACTATTAATAGATAAGATTCAGACAATTTTACAGTTTTTCAGTCTGTTTGGTCATAGTCCTTTTCAGAGTGTAATGATGATTAAGGACCATAGCTCTCTATAAAATCGTCCGATTTAAAAAGATATTTACCTTTGTTGTTAGTCTAGTGATACAAGTTATAATAACCTGGAAGCCTTCTAGGAGAAATATAAAGATAAAAAAAAAAAAACCTTGAAAAACACAAGCCTACCATATTTTTCAGTCTGTTTGGTCATAGTCCTTTTCAGAGTGTAATGATGATTAAGGACCATAGCTCTCTATAAAATCGTCCGATTTAAAAAGATATTTACCTTTGTTGTTAGTCTAGTGATACAAGTTATAATAACCTGGAAGCCTTCTAGGAGAAATATAAAGATAAAAAAAAAAAAACCTTGAAAAACACAAGCCTACCATACACTATTTAAAAAAAAAAAAAAAAAAAAAACTTTAAAAAACCACAACCCCCCCAGCCACTATTTAGGATGCCTACAAACCAACTCTACTTTGTACCTATAAACACATCATCTATTCCTTACTCTCGAGAGACTTCCCTATTATATCCATTGGCCAAGTCTAAGGAAGCAGCAATATCAGCTACCTTTTTAATTAAACTTTCTGTGTATCAAAGTCAGGAGAGAGGTAGGTACAACATTGTTTTCTTCAGTATTAAACATAAACCCTGAACTTGAACAAAAAGGATATCTAAAGCTGGATGATATTTTATTGAGTGTTTTGTTAAACTTGTATGTTAATCATTTACCTTTCGGACCATAGCTTTTATCCACCTGAAATCCTAGGAGGTTTAAATTGGCTATAATTTGAAAATTATTTGCAGTTTATGGATAAGCTTTATATACAACCATTATCATATACCTGCCAAAAGTAAATTTCCAGGAACCCTAGTGAAATCTTTTCTCACTGTAAAGTAGCTCATTTTTTTTGAAAAATAATAATAATAGCTTTTTATTCTTTCTTTGAGGTTTTAGAGCAACTCTCATTTGAAACAGATAGGCATTGGCATTAGTGGAATTATTTTCTGATCTTCTCTACATAGCCCATAAACCTAACAATTGTCCTGGTTTTGTGCTAGCATATAAGTTCAAATTAAAGTCACCCACTGATTGTGGTTCCATGAACTTTCCTGTAGGAAAAGAAAATGAAAAAATTAAAACAATTGGAATTGAGAAAAAGAACATAAAATTTTCATGATGGCAGAGAAATTTTGATTTTCCATATTGGGCAAAGCTGTCGATGTCCATGATATCTGTTCTGAAGAAGAAATTTTCCTGGTCAGTTTTACCTTAAAGTCCCTTTTTAAAAATCTGAAGTACCCCTTCTGCATTGGGAACCCTGAGTTCAAGTTCTTGAAGGTTTGCTGCAGTGTAATTGGTGAGAAGAATTTGGTATGATGTCTTTCAACAACGCTCACGGGCCGTCTTTCTCTGGTGTCTTTTCTAGAAGACCCCAACTCTGGACCATGAAGGGCTTGATTGTCTTTAGTCAGTGAATCACAGATGGCATCCTTTACCTGGTGAAATACACTTTGGCATGATGCATTAAAGCCTAAAGAGTTTAGTCACATCAGATTTTTCTAGAAATGTGTCATGAGAGAAAACACATTTTCTAATTTTCTAATATCCTTTTGGCTACTGTTAGAGTGTTACTTTTCTTTATGGGAAAGTTCCTGCACAACTAAAATATATGCAATGAAAAAGGCAATGAGTGAAATCCCTTTATAATAATTATATGGCATATTAGATAGTAGAAATGTACCTACAGTTTTTATTGTCTTTTCAATATCAAGTTGACAGATTAAACATTGACAAAAGACACGTTAGCAATTTTAGAGTAGTCAGTCTACTAATA